AATAGCTGCATTTTCTACCCAATACCATTTTACTCATATTTAATAAGTTTAATTTCACATAGAATCATCCTCCATATCCACTGTATCCACAGTATTTCTGCTCTAAATGGGCACGTATGCTGACATACAATGATTGGATGATTCTTGCTAAAAACTTTTCCACTTTCTAGTATTAGAGAATTTTCTCTATGTAATATCTGCAACACATAAGACACAATTTATTACCGAAGGTGTCACATTCACTACATTTGCAAGGCTTAGTCCCTGTTTGAACTCCTGATTATCTACTAAAGCTTGACTTCTTGGAAAAGGTTGTTCCGCAATCACTACATTTCTACCCCAGAGAAGCTCACTGATGGTTAATAAGGGTGGGGTCCCTAAGGAAGGCGTTTCTGCAGGACTGTGTTTACAAGGTTTCCTTCTTGTATGAGTTTGCTCATATATAAAGAGGTATGACTCCCTGAGGAAGGTTTCTCCACCTTCAGTGAATATATAACTTTCTCTCTTGTATGAGTTTTCTTATGTTTAATGAGAACTGACATTTGGGCAAATGCTTTGCCACATTCACTGCATGAATATGGTCTCTCTCCTGTATGAGTTCGCTGATGCTGAATGAGCTTTGACTTGCTTCTAAAGGCTTTCTCACATGCACTACATTTGTAAGGTTTCTCTCCTGTGTGAATTCTCTGATGTTTGGTCAGGTCGGACTTAAAATAAAAGGTTCTTCCACATTCACTGCATTCGTAAGGCTTCTCTCCTGTGTGAAGTCTCTGATGTGCAATGAGGTAAGCCTTCTGAGAAAAGGCCTTCCTGCATACACTGCACCCATAGAGTTTCTCTCCAGTATGAGATCTCTGGTGTCTACTGAGCAGGCATTTCCAGGTGAAGGCTTTCCCACATTCACTACATCTGTAGGGTTTCTCTCCTGTATGAGTCCTTTGATGTACCATGAACTGTGACTTTCTGGAGAAGGCTTTTTCACAGTCCATACATTCATAGGGTTTTTCTCCTGTGTGAGTTCTCTGATGTTCAGTGAGCTGAATCTTCCTCATGAATGTTTTCCCACATTCACTGCATCCATGAGGCTTCTCTCCTCTTTTGGTTCTCTGATGTGTAATGAGCTGTGCTTTCTTGCAGAAGGCCTTCCCACAATCACTGCATTCATGTAGTTTCTTTCCTGTATAAGTTTTCTGATGGTCAGTGAGCCATGATTTAGTGCTACTGGGTTTAACACATCCATGGTATTTAATTCCAGTAAGAGTTTTATCATACTTGACATGGAGACATGATTTCCCACATCCACTGAATTCATCAGAATCTTTTCCCGCACATCTTGTATTCTGGATAACAAAACCTAAATGGAATTGCAAATTTTAAAAATGTGAGCCAAACTTAATTTTGTCTTTGCATTAAAGACACAATACTTTTGCATAAATCAAAATTATTTCCAAGGGCATAATTTTGCTGACATCTTCCTAAACATTTTTTTTTTTTTTTTGAG